GAAGAAAGATCTATTTCTCACTTTACATTAGCAGCACTATTGCACTGTCCCCTTGTTGTATGAACACGTCTGGGATAGCAACCCCCACGTTCTGGGATAGCCTTCGACACCGCCGTAAAATTTATGATATTAAAAATAACGATACTAGGCGACAAAGAGAAAAACACTCATTGTAAAGACAGGATGCATCGGGGCTTGAACGCATCATTGTTCAAATCAACAGAGGAATGCACCCTAGGCGATTAGAATCAAGCGAACGGTGCAATGATGCAGTTGGTGTATAGTGAGAAATATATTTTTCTTTTTTTTACACTGTGCATTTTCGCCGTTGAAATCCGGTAATTTAATTTTTAGTATCGTCTATTTAACGGCGGTGTCGAAAGCCAACCCAGAACATTTGGGTAGTTGTATCTCGAAATACCTATTAAATATGTAATTTTTTCCCGTCTATAGTCATGGCTATAAAAGTCAGACCATCAGTGTTTCTGAATGAAACTTTAAAACTTTAGTTTTGTTACGAATCGTCTAAAGGACCCTTAATACCGATTAACGAGTTTGAAAATAACTAAACCTTCCTAATGACTAGCTTGGACACACATGGCAAAGTGTAAAGGAAACATTAATTTGCAAAAAACTGCAGTTCGCGTTTAGAATAAAGGTAAAGATGATGAACAATGAATCGATGAGAAACAAAAAACACTTGAGCAGTATTTATGCCAGCTAGGTCACACTAAAGTGGTAGTAGCAGTGAACATTACGTGTCACATTACAAAGGATCGAATTTTGCTGTTTGTGATGCATAATTCCAATATGAACAATAATGTACTTTCGAGATAAGAAAATGAAGAACCACGGGTCAGATGAAAATCGTCACCTCTAAAACAGAACCTATTGGTTCTGTGAGTTGCGCCGTTAGATGAAGAAAATTTTAATAATGATCATTTTCATTGCAGCTGGACGATGAGAGAAAGTGAGTAACCAATTGTATCAAGTGAGAGAGTAATTGCATTACCAAAAATGATCATCAATATGCAAATATAGTTGCTGTGCGTTGAGGGGCGACTATCAGTGATGTATGCGTGACAGTTCGCCGTCAGTAGTGAAGTGGTGTATCGATACGTTTTCTATAACCAATGGCAGTATCATCAAGCGTACAAGAGTGAAGTCGAAGATCTGAAATCAGTGACCAGGTTTGAAATTTTCAAATAGCCTTATTCGTTGAAATAACCTACAGTTTTGATCGCAGTAATCGATCATAATTTGACTTTGACTCACCGCATGGTAATGAAGTAGATAAAAGAGGCTCTCGGTTATTTTGGGGAATTCTGCTCAGCTGTAAAGTTCTGACCCTTGAGGGAAGAGTTAATTAACAGCTTTCGAGCCCACTTCAGTGAATTCGGTTATAATAATCGTCGTCACTTATGAATGAGACTATCGCACGTGACAAAGTTCGTTTCAGTGTGTTTCGTGTTCAGTGTTGTGAATTTTCTAAACGCAGATTCTTCTTAATGGTGTTTGCCCGTTTAGATAGATGGGCGAGCAATGGTAGAAATTCAGTTCTGCACATTAGAGGTATCGAGTTAAAGTTCAGGCGAGCGAGTTGTTCAGTTTAAGTACATTTTCGTTAAGCAAGAAATTTATCCGATCTTACTGTACTTTAGTGATTTGTGTCTCTGGCACATTAGCACAAAGCCTTAGGAAGTGCTGGGATTGATTCTGGCAGAAGAGCGACCTTTCTTTTAACCTAGAATTCCTTTAAGCCAAGAATTTGCCATCCT